GAAAACACATGCATGAGCAAGGCTGCTTGCATGAACTCCTTGGCAGGTATGGCTCCAGTTGGCACAGCCAACAGGACAGGCAAATCTTATAATCTGCCAGCAAGGCAAGTTCTTCAACTGACAGCATGCTGCTAACCTTGCCCTTTGCTTGAGCCAAATATTTGCTGGCAAACCAGATCCTCAACATGCGTGCCAGCAATCTATGCAGCTGGCACAGACGCCATTGTTTTCTCAGTCAGATCGGTCTCTGGTGCGCAGCATTTCTACTCCAGCTGCTATCCTAGCCTCTCAGCCAAATATTTCTTTGCACAAGGTAATCTTCTCTTTGGCATTCTGCTGAATGGCCTGGAACTCCTTGTGCTCCCACACATCGCCCTTGTCGGACACTTTGGAGAGGATCTCTTCCAGCTCACCCTTTGCTTTGGCTGCGTGCCCTCTTTTGTCACCATCTGTGGTTTCAAATGCCTTGCAGCCCACGACAGTGACGGCTTTGGACAAAGCAGATTTCAGCCACTGGATTTGTTTCTTGGTCACCTGCTCCTCATCATCTTTGTTTGCCTTTCCTTTCTTGCCAATGCCTTTGGAAGTCTTACCCTTCATGCTCCCCTTGCCCTTGGCAATGCTGGAACCAGTGCCAAACAGCTGGATGTCATTGAAGCTGGATGCTGAGCCAAAGGCAGTCCAAGCCTTGTCCCAGTCATCATCATCGTCCTCCTTGGTCTCTGGCTTGAGCTGGCTCTTGGAAGATTTGCTGAGCTGCTTATCTCTGCCCAACACCTTGGTTGTCTTCACCTTGTTGTTGTCTTTGAATTCCCAAACTCCAGGTGTGTCTGGGCACTCCCTTTCAGAGATTCTTCCACTGTGAATGTGCATCGTCAGCTCCTCCTCACTCCATTCTTGCAACATCTTGGTCCAGCTGATCCACTCATCAGTCTTCTCGAGATTTTGGCTCCCCCTCACAGTGTGGGTTAACTCTTGCCAGACATCAGTCATGGTTGGGTCAAGGGCAAGGCAGCCAACCAAGTGCCTGTGAGCTTTCTGCCCTTGGCTTGCAGCCAACTTGTCAATTTCACTGTTTTTTTTCCTGGCTGAGGAAAACCTGCCATTGAGCTTGTTCCAGTCACCCAAGGTCAAGTGGTCGTTCAAAAGCTGCAACTTATCGTCTGCAGACAAGTCGGTGTTGCTCCTCAGCAACTCCAGCTTCATGTTCAAGCTCTTGACTTGCTCAACTCAGACTTCACGTGGTCAAGCGGGCTTGGGTCCTCATTCTGGCTCTTGCCTGCTTTTTCAGGCTCTTCAGTCTGGTCGACTGGTACAGGGTTGGGCCCTTCTGAATCAGGCAGGCTTACACCCTCAGCCTTGGCCGACTTGCTCTTGCTTTCACCTGATGTGCTCATGGAGGGTCTCTTGCGGGGCCCCATGGCTCAGTGTCTTCAGTGCTCAATCTACTTTGCTACACAGATCCACTTGTGGCAACGCATGCAAGCCTGAGAACATTGCAATAAATGCAGCACTTGCGCCCTCACAACATGATGGCCAGGCACACTCCTATATATTGCATCTGGCCCTTCTGCAGGGCCAGATTCACTTTCCACATTGGACTTGGCCCTTGTGCAGGGCCAAATGCAGTTTCCCAATGCCCTGGCCCTTCTGCAAAACCAGATGCATTTGAGAGCCCTTCTGCAGGGCCTTCTTCACATCCCCAATGCTTCCATGAATGAGCCAGATGCAAAAAAAACAAAGCAACAAACCAGACTGAAACAACAAACACATACTTCTGCTAAGTATGTAGTACAGGCAACATATCTGTAATACAGAAAAACATCTGTAATACAGAAAAAACATCTGTACTACAGAAAAAACATCTGCAATACAGAAAAAAACATCTGTAATACAGAAAAAAACATCTGCAATACAGAAAACAACATCTGTAATACAGATAAAAAATCTGTAATACAGATAAAAAATCTGTAATACAGATAAAAAATCTGTAATACAGATAAAAAATCTGTAATACAGATAAAAAAATCTGTAATACAGATAAAAAATCTGTAATACAGATAAAAATCTGTAATACAGACTGTAGTATTTACAATGCAGGCCACAAAAAAACATACCAAACTACCTGTAGCATGGCACAGACAAAATGTCTGTAATAAAGCCAAACCATGTGAATTCGTCGCACCGCACTTTTTTTGCCTTTGCACCAGCAGTGATCAGGTGCTTACACTTGGCCCCAGTACCTGTGTTCCAAGGCTACATCATGGCAGTGGCACATGCACAGTGGGTGGCAAGCACTTTGGCAATGCTCACACCAAAGTTTGCCTTTGCCCTTCATCACAGTGACACCCTTCCTATTGCCTTTGCCTTTTTGAGGCTGTGTGTGCTTGTTTTTGCCTTTGCCATGGCCCTTGCTAGGCTCAGGCAAATCATGCACCCAAGCTCTCACAAGCTTGAAGTCAGAGCTCACAAATTCTTGATGTCTCCAGGCTTCAAAAAGTTTCATTGCGTGTGCCACCTCCAAAAGCTGCAGCATTTCCATCCACTCATCTGGGCTTTGCTGCAACCACCTTGCCAGCTGCTCTGGCCTCTCACTCATTTGAGACCACCTCTCCTCAGCATTCGTGATGCTTGGTGCATCAAATGCAACCATTTCTTTGGTCCCATCTTCACGCTCCAGGTAGGCTTCCACAGGTCCACCTCTGATGCTGGCGAAGACAACCATGTTCTTGTGGCTCCACATCAGATGGTCACCTCCAATGGCTGGAACAAGCTGGACCCTCATGGGCCTAGACATTTCCTGCTAAGGAGCAAAGCTATCTGGAAGCCACTTCTTGAACATCCAAGGCTGCATGGCTACTGCGTGCACATATGTGTTTCTCAAACAGCTTGCCTCAGATCCCCCTTCTGCAGGGGTTTTGCTCTTCAGGATGCCTGCTCAGTCTTTCCTGCCCCTTCTGCAGGGGCTTTACCACCATGGCACCAAAGCTGTCCCTTGAACAGTTTCTAAACAATTGTCAACCAAATCAAAACAGCACTATTGCCTCTTCTGCAGAGGCTTAATTGACTCTCCCCTGATTCAGCTGGACATGTTGCAACTTCTGCAATGCGAATCTCCCCCCCCTGCAATGGAAAAACGCGCTCAAAGCATTTTCCTCAGGTCTGGAAGACTGCAATGCATGGAAAATAGCACTTGCGCAGTGCAATCGCCATGAATATATTATTCTCATGCAATACTGTATACAGCTCTCACCTCGGGTCAAAGGGGCTCTTCTTGGTCCTTGGCTGCTTGTTCTTCTTGCTCTTCTTCTTTTTCTCTGTGGCCTTGGGAGGTGAAGGCGGCTCAGTCTCAGAGGCATCTGCTGCACTCTCTTCAGCTGCATTCGTTGCATCCTGCTCCTTCATCTGCTCTGCAACTTCTGAGATCAGCTGCAGAGCTTTCTCTTCAGCAGCTTTCTTTGCACTTTCAGCTGCAGCTCTTGCCTCCTGAGCAGCCTTCCTCTTTGCAGATGCCTCAGCAAGCTTGGCCACTGCTTCTGCGAGCTGCTTCTCCTCAGCTGCTGCTTTTTTCTCCTCAGCTGCAGCCTTTTGCTCCTGCTCAGCTGCCAACTGCACAGCATCTGCTGCCATCTTTTCTTCTGTTTCCTGCAGGGCCTGCATCTTTTCGAAGTTGCTGGCTTCCTCTTTGGCCTCCTGCTCGCTCTTCCCTTGGCTCAGCAGGTAGTTCACCAGCTGCTGTGACTCCTTCTTCTCAAAGTTGGCCACCTCCTTCTTCTCAAAGTTGGCCACCTCCTTCTTCTCAAAGTTTGCCACTTCTTGCTTTGCCTCCTGCTCGCCCTGCTCCTGCCGCTTGCTTTTGCTTTCTTCTTCCCAGCTTCCATGCCATTTCCTCTTTTGGCCATACCCGCAGTTGTCGCACCAGCCCCTGTTCCTGTAAGCTTGGACCCCACACCTTCTGCACCAGCCTTTCCAGCTGGCTGCAACTTTCCCACCATCAGCTGAGGAAGCTGGGTTGGGGTCCGAGGCTTCACCAGGCTGCAAGCTTTGCAGCAGCTCCTGCACTTTTGCCCAGCCTCCTTGCCCTCCTTGGTCCAGCTGGCTGGCCAGCAGGTTCACAATGGCTTTTTGCACAACCTTCCTTTTGGCCAGCCTCCTGTCCCTGCTGTTGCCTTGCTCAAGGTCAAGATCTCCAGCTGCATCATCTGACGCCCAGAATCCTGGCCCAGAGCTCAAAGCCTGCAGCAACTTGCTGCACATCTCTTGTTCGTCAAGCTGCTGCTGCTGCTGCTGCTGCTGTGGCAGCTGCTGCGGCAGCTGCTGCTGCTGCTGCGGCTGCTGCTGCTGCGTCTGCAGCAGATGCATGCTCAAGGGCTGCATTCGGACAGGCCCCTGGCCCAGCCCTTGCTGCAGCTGGGCGTGCAGCATGGCTTGCAGCTGCTCCACAGTCATGATCCCAGGCTGCATGTTATTCATGCTTCTCACCAGCAAGTGTTTTACTTGCAAGCTAATCTCAGCTTGAGCCATGGAACTGCAGCACCAACAATTAATGTGTGTGTGCTCAAACGCTTGCAAATCAGCTCATGCAAGATATTCCTGCAGCCTCTTCTGCAGAGGCTTGCGCGCGCACCCTCTTCTGCAGAGGCTGTGCTTTGCTTTCCCCATCCCCTTCTGCAGGGGAATTGCTTTTTCAGCAGAGGATTTGCTGTTTGTTCTCTTCTCCGCCCCTTCTGCAGGGGAATTGTTTTTCAGCTCCCCTTCTGCAGGGGCTTTCTGGCATAACAAACTTCCACAAAAAACAAGGTTTACTTGGTGCACCTCTTCTGCAGAGGCTAGCCCTCTATGAATGTGTTGCATGGATAACAAACTTCCACAAAAAACAAGGTTTACTTGGTGCACCTCTTCTGCAGAGGCTAGCCCTCTAGCAAGGATGAATGTGTTGCATGGATCCCTCTGATGTCTTTACGTGTGAGACAACCCCAAGCTATAGACAGCATGCCAAACTAATCATGCTTATTCTTCAGCATCTTCCAAACTTTGTGCTTGGCCAGGAGCATGATCTCCTCTTCTTTGGCCGTGTCCCCTGGCCTCAAATGAAGATCGTGTAGGACTTTGGATGCCAAGGCATCCAATTCCACCTTGTGGATTTCCTTGTGCCCAAAAGCAAAAATCTGGCCCACGCACTTCCCATTGTTAAACTTCTTAACACCAAACTTGTTGCCATTCTTGTAGTACTCCTTTCTGTAGTGGAAAGGGCTCTTCTTGCCATGCTCTGGCTGCTTCTTTGTCTTTAGCTTTGGGCTTTTGCGGCTTGAGGAGCTCGAGGAGCATGGCTCTTTTTCCTCTGCGCCTTGGCCTTGCTGCTTGCTTGCAGGCACTGGGGTGTGTGGTGCTTCACTTTGGAGATCTTCTTGCAAACCCTGAGCAGGGCATGGCTCATCCTCAGCAAGCCCTACCTCACCCTCAGCTGGCCCTGCCTCACTGGTCAGCATGGCAATGAGGGACTTCACTTTGGCAAGTGAACCAGATGATGACTTGGCAACCAGCTGCTGGCACTTCTCTGTGTTGTTCTTTGCCCTCCTCAAGTGGTAGAGCATGGTAGAGATCCTGTCAAACCTGCTTCCAGCCCAGAGTAGATTCTTCAAGCTGGTTTTGTTCAACTCAGGTTCCAAGCTCACCGCCTTCAGGATTGAAGCTCTCACCTGGGTCAGCAGAAGCTGGCCTTCAGGCTGAACCAGCAGCAAGCTCTTCAGCAAGTCAAAGTGCATGGCTAAACTTTCTCCATCTGCAGCCTGTGCTTTGCTGATGGTCTCATAGGCACCCAAGTCCTGCCAGCTTTTATTGCTGTGCAGGGCCATGTCCAGCACTGACTGGTCCAGTGGTGTCACCTGCTCCCTCTTTCCCATTGCGCCTATGTGTTGACTGCAAGATCTAGGCCAAACGCGGCAACTGCAGTTTTCAAACATCTGCAATGATCTGATGCAGTCTGCCTCTTGGTCGCTGCCCATTTCTGAGGCAAGCAGCATGCCCTTTGATCTGTCCCCTTCTGCGAGCTGCAACCATTTCATAAACCTGCATTCATTCTAAGAAACCTTACAATCGAAAAAAAGATTGATATTTTGGTTGAAAAACACTTCAAAAAATATCAATCTTTTTTGGAGAAAATATCAATCTTTTCCTTCAAAAAAAATAGCTTAAAAAACACTTAAAAACACCTAAAATATGCGAATATCAATCTTCATTTTCATGGATTGATTTTTTTTGATCCTGGATCCTCTGGGGAGGACCGGTGTGGTGGTATCGTGCTTCAACAACGTGGAGTGGTTTTTGGGCCCGGCGGGGTTTCCCAAGTGGCGTAAAACGGTGCCACGGGCACCCGGCCCATAAATTCAAGTAACCCTTAATTGGTGGTTTGGTGGTTTGGATTTGGATTTGAACGGGTCCCTGGTTCGTGTTCAGGGTTAATGGGATGCCTAACCCGGAACACCACCAAACCACAAGCACTCCAAACCACCAACCAGGGGGAAGCTGATAAATGTTAATCTCACAAAAAAACTGAATTGGGGTCGGTAGTTGCCTAATCTTTCCGGACCCTCCATTTAACACTCGGCTTCGTTCCAGGTGTCTCGCGGCATTTGTTACACTTTGTCGGAAACCCCCAAACCAGGTGCAATCAAAGCCACACACACACACAAACTAATCAGAAGCGGGCCCCATTCAGGTTCGGATTTCACGCAAGAGGAATCCTTCGACTCGTATGATCTACTAGTACCTGGAATCTCCATGACCCTTAAAAAATGGGTCAATGACCCCATTATTTTGGGTAACGACCCCATTTGTTAAGGGTCATAGAAACTCCAAGTAGATTCAACTGAACAGTTTCCGAGGTAATCACTTCTCCGATGAGGTTGCCGGCTTTCTCATTCAGGCATGGCCCAAGCGAGTGCGCCAAGCTGTGAATGCGCCTGGGCTCCATGTTGTTTTGATCTTTGATCCAGCTTGTCAGGCAATTGTGCTTATGGGATAATTATGCGCCGAGGTCGAAAGATCAGTTCCTTCACTCGGGGCTTACAGGGATGGTCATCCACCTGGTAGTAAGAATCCTCAACAATGAATCGTTCAAGCGAACCGGACCATGACCATGGGCCAAACAAACGAAGTTCATGGCTCATGAAAGGTAACGCCGAAGCAACGATGAATCCTGGCATTTGTGTCTCAAGACTGATTTCAGCATGGTCGCAACTATTGCGGATTGCGTCGTGAAACGCGTTTGAGCGCTCTGCTTTCTTGCTGGCTATGGAGGTGATGCCTTACACGTCAACTACTATGCGGCATTGATAAAATTATGTTCTTGTTTTGTTCTTCTTCTTTTTCTTGAAACAATATGTTTCAGCTTCCCTCTAACAGATGGTTTGGATTGGTGGTTTGGTGGTTAAGGAGGGGTTTCCCATGTGCCCTCTACAAAAACCTGGGGTTCCAATTCCAAACCGCCAATCCAAACCACCAACTATGGGTTACCTGAATGTTCAGTACGACATGAATTCGCTTCTTTTAGCACGCTTGCCACGTGTCTCTAAATGGGGGGAGGGGACCTGCGGGACCACCCAAAAATTGTGGTGTGTCGGTGTCGTTAGGTGGGTTTGCTTGGAAGTCACTGGCACAATTTTTGATCGGTGTTCCATTTCTTTGGCGCATTTTGCTTGGCCGTGAGGACTCAGGACTGTGACTTTTGCCAACTCATGGGTTTTCAATCAAACCACTAAAAGTTATTTTTTTAGCAGGGGAGCAGAAAGCAACCAAGATTTAGCAGGGTCATCTAAACTTTCCCAAAAGGACACCTATGGTGACTTCCGCTTCCTAACAGCTACCAATATATATATATATATACATATATGATATATATATATATACATGTCGAAGGTAGCAGAGTGCTTTTTGGTTAGTGACAGATCTTCAATCTTTGCAGGAACCGCCTAGATAGTTCATCGGTGTCAACGTAAGACTTGTGCTTGCGCAATTAATTTTGCTGGTATGTCTAACATTAAGAAGCAACAGCAAGGTGCACCCAGAGTCTTTCCCCTTGGAAATTGAATTTTCCCAAGAAGAACCCCCCCCCATGAGGAGATTGATCCCGTACACGTGACGTTTTTGTATTGGGGTCCATGGGCGTTTTCAGGAGACTATGGACGGTGTGTTGTCGCCCAGGGTTGTGTGATTTATCTAAGTTGTCCCGAGGTGATGGTTTCGTTTTGTTGTCCCCCTGTCCATGACCTGCCCTACGTGTGGCCCTTTTGGCGGGTTATCAATGTCAGAAACTGGCAGCCTAGAGATCTAACTTGATTGAAAACGTGAGGGCTAGTATCTCTCCCCGCCCCCCTTGATACAAGCTGACATTCCTCTCCAAGAACCCCCAAATGATTTCCTCGCATGCTCCCAACCAAACGACACCCCACCTCCCCAAGTTGCAGCTTCAAAATGGGTTGCCACCCAAAGCTGTGGTTGGTGAACTCCTTGTTTTATGGGTCGTTCTTTTGGGTCCACACCCACACCCGGCGGAAAAGACGAAACTGGCCAGGGCTGCCACATCCCGGACGAAGCCCGGAGGCAGCCGGAGGCCGAAGAAAAAGAAAGAATTGCCGAACCTCGATGCGAGGAAAGCGGTCAGTTTTTTATGGGTTTCCAGTTTTGCTGTTGTTGCGTTGTGTTTAGAAACAAAAAAACTATTTGTTTTTTTACTATATATTTGTTTCGGGTGTCCTGCTGTTTTTTGGTTTCCTGTTGTTGTTGGGTTTCCAGTTTGTGTTGTTGGGTTTCCGGTGTTTTGTTCCCCTGTACCCGCAAACACAAATTCAGACTTGTCCAAAGCGAAACCCGAGCGTTTGAGCGTTTGGTTCTCCCATGGTTCATTATTTGAGGTCCCAAAAGGTGAAGCTATTGATTGCACATGGGGTGGGATCTTTAGACTTTAACTGGGTTGTAAGGAATACTCCCAACCATAAACAGGTCTGAATAGGTGCGCATACCCACCTTGTATTTCTTGAAGCATGATTCTGGGAGACCATTTTATCGATTTTAGTACCAGGTTTTGGTTGTGTCTTTTTTGGGGCTGTGGCACTCACCTTACCTCATGAGTTCTTGGACTTGGACTTCACTTCCTGTGTCTTGACCATACTTTTGGTGAACAAAAAGTGGGAGCTGTGCATGCCCAATCGACTCGTTCAGAAGTGAGTTACCCTTGAGTGGTGGTTAGGAGCGGGCCTGAACCTTTAAGCCAAAGGGAGAGAAACGGAGGTTTAAGCGAAGCCAAAATCAAACCAAATATTTCTGAGATGCCTTTTTGTTGGGACTGTGTTGTTTGTGGCGCTTTGAAGTCAAAGTTTTACAGGGTGCCCAAATCGAAAGAGATTTGGGGTCTCCATTGTTTCAAGCTAGAAACACCCCAGCACATGTTGTGGAAGACGCCGATGAGAACCTTGCACTTGGCTTCTTTTGCAAAGATTTGGGATCGGAGGTGTAGAGTGTCTAACAAGGTGTAACTCTACTCCTGTTCACGTTCAACTTTGGCTATGAAAGGCTTCCATTTGCGTTTCAGAATATTTTCCGAAATTCTCTCTGGATGTTTGTCTCCAAAGCAAAACAAATCTGGCGTATGGTTTCAGCCGAAGGAGGCCGCACGAGATACAGACTTGGCTCTTGGAGGGACGGCTTGAAGGGCGGGCACAGCTCAGGTGGAAGGGAGCAAAATCAAAGCCGCTTCTGCTGGACTGGGGACTCTGTCGTACAGAATCATGATACAGGAACTCCTTCTGGTGCCCCCTCGTGGTTCGGTGTTTTTCTCAAAGCAGCACAATCATAGCGGTTGCCCTGACGGCGGGACAATTTGTGACTGCTCCTGATTTTGCAGGTGAAATTCGCAGTGTCCATATGGCAGTGGGTTAAAACCAATGGTACCATTTTGGAGTAGATGCACCACCCATTTTCGTCTATTTTAGTGGGGATTGGGATGTTCACTGGGGGTACGGGCGGTTGACCCATGGCCATATCTTTCCCGATCACTTTCCCAATCCTTCGGACTCCCAGCGCGATTTTGGGAGCAACATGTAGTCCGCTTCCCGTTCAGACCGGGCGGCAATATGTCGCCTGGAGTCTCTATGACCCGAGTCAAAGATGGGTTGCGATGTCCCCATTTGTTCCGGGCTGCCAGATTTCAGGGTTTCGGGCGCCCTTTTGGTTTTACTTGGAACCCAACGTGTACCGAGCCTCAAAGCACGACACCCAATTCCAGCTGCGAAACTCGCGCCTTGCAGGCATTAATGGGCACCTCCACCATGAACATCCTCCGCCCGCGTGGGGCTTAGGGCTCTCGAGCTAAGAGACGTGCCAGAGACGAATGTTTGCTCATGGTTGTTGAGCAATCGGCGGGTTTCGTGTTACCTTTCTGTGAAAGTCTTGTTGTTTCAGGCCAGGTTTCACGTTTGTGATAGCGTTTGGAAGTGCAACGGTCAACCTGGACCTACCATATTTGTTAGTTTTAGATAGCCCGTGTCTGATATACCTGGAAAATCCGATTGGTGACATAGTAGCCGTGATGGGAATCCCCCTTTCACGGAAAGGCATATCTTCCATGAATCGGAGCCCTTTAGCCCCCAGTAAAGTCCTCCGAACCTAAGAATTCCTAAGCCTAAGACTCACTTGTCCAAAGCCGACCTTGTCACCTGTTGCTTTTCCCTTTTGTGCCCATTTTTTGTGCATCACCCCAAAAGGTTAGCCCTTTATTAGCAAATCCTTTGGGCAACTGAGTACGAGCAGCCTGTAAGAACCTTTTCTGTGGGGTGCGAGGCACCCTCGGATTCTCTACGAGTTCCAACGAGTTTCATGCAGTGGTGTTTGGGGATTATTTTTGGCG